TAGTATCTGCGCTTTGTGGGCTGCCGGGTCGGGTGTCTGTCGAACTCTCTGCTTGCAGAGAGGAACCCGGACGAAGCTCCACCGAAGGGTGGGGTTTCGTTCGGGGAGGTTGACGCAGCTAGCCCGCTTGGATGGGTTTAGATGGGTTTTATTTTTGGCTGGGCCTACGGGCTCAGACATACCCACATTAAAAAGGCCTTGTGCCACATTCAATTCCTGTGGGTGAATTGATAAATACCATCATCACAAGTAAAATAATTAGCCAGTTTATGACTTAACTTAGGACCAGTAATTTACAAATACTAACCTATCTAATATTTTAATCATCAATAATAAACTACTAAGAATGACATTAAAATGTTTATATAAAGGCAATATAACATAAGAGGAGTGTTTATTGAGTTATAAAGTTTAACAAGATTGTAAGGTTAATTCCTTAATATGCCTGCAATTTACCGTAGTTTCATATCTCTGATTTAATAACTCCTGATAGCAATTTTAAGGGATCAATTTATGACTTCATAAAAAGAGAAATCCCCCATTTTCTGTGCAAGAGAATTATATATCAATTCAAATTTATCCATGCCATCAAAAATGTTACCATATCTGAAATTAAGATTTAGTTTGTTGGATTTTTCAAATAAGTCTTTTAAATATATTTTTTAAATTATCGTTGTATTTAAAAAAATTTTTTTTTTTTTTTATAAATTATCGTAATTAAATTTAAATATATTTTTAAAAAAAAAATATCATTACTTTAACTTCCTGGCATTATAAATGTCTTCTGACAGTCTGCCAACAAAGATTCTGTCACTTGGCTTTGCCAGTGCAATGGAGATAATTCTACTACAGAAAAAAAAAGTCACAGTACATTTCAAAAATCTACAAATATACCCGACAGATAACAGTAAATGGAAATCCAGCCCAGTTTTTATGCCTTTTGTGATTTGAAAAAATATCCTATGTCAAAGGAACTAAATTGCTCTGTCTATATAAAAAAAGAAAAGAAAAAAAAAAGTATATTTATTTACTTACTTACTCACTCACTCACATACCACACACTGATATTTAGTTGTATTGTCAGTTTAATGGACCCTGTGGCTCTACCCTCTAAAACATCCCCCCCCTCTCTTCCTGCCTGTGTTTATATTAAAGCACCTACAAATTTCTAACCACTCATTGATTGTGATTTAAGTTTGGTCATAAGGCAGCCAAGATCGAATCGCAGCAGGTCTCTTCGTGTTGGACTGGTCGCTGAAATGACCGCTCCAATCCAGAGGTAACCTTATCCCACGTTAAGTTTAAAGTTTGTTCATAAGGCAGCCAAGATCGAATCGCCGCAGGTATCTTCGTGTTGGACTGGTCGCTGAAATGACCGCTTCAATCCAGAGGTAACCTTATCCCACGTTAAGTTTAAAGTTTGGTCATAAGGCTGCCAAGATCGAATCGCCGCAGGTATCTTCGTGTTGGGCTGGTCGCTGAAATGACCGCTCCAATCCAGAGGTAACCTTATCCCACGTTAAGTTTAAAGTTTGGTCATAAGGCAGCCAAGATCGAATCGCTGCAGTTCTCTTCGTGTTGGACTGGTCGCTGAAATGACCGCTTCAATCCAGAGGTAACCTTATCCCACGTTGTGTTTAAAGTTTGGTCATAAGGCAGCCAAGATCGAATCGCAGCAGGTCTCTTCGTGTTGGACTGGTCGCTGAAATGACT